AAATGCATGTCTTCTTTCATGATACTCAAAGTAGCAAATGGATTCTGTATGTTGTAAAAGTGTGGTTTCTCTCCCCTTCCCCTCAATGATTTGTATTTTAGGGGGAACACTGCTCATGCATGCTTTCCCAAATCTGCTGGAAGACCCTGTATTTGAATTTACCAGCAAGTGTTGCAAAACTACTTCTATTTGGATATTGGCATTGGATCTTTCAGGGCTTGTATGTAGATGGCTTTAAACCTGGGAAAAAAGGTTGGATTTCCAGATGCAATTTGGAGAGAAGTGCCAGGACATGGTGGAGGTTTAGAAGAGTCTTAAGCTTACAGGAAGTTAATTCCAATCTCCTGACTGCAAAAACATAGCTCACAAAGAAGTGCTAGGACACAGATGTTACACAGATGCATTATGGTACCAGTTTTATCCCTTGAGTTGTAATCGGACACAGAGGAAACTACAGACCACCCCACCAGTTCTGATGTTGCAGTGGGTCAGATTCATACTAATGGTAAGACTCATGGCAAGCTCCCTGCTTGGGTTTCTGGTTGGCTCGCCTGCCAACCGTGTATGAAGGCACAAGGGCCAGGGTCTGGAACTTGGGAGACCAAGTGTTAGGATCCATGTAACCCAGAATTGCGATCCTAATATGTCACTGTCCCCTCCCATAGCATTCATGGGACAAAGGGTTTGGTTGATTTGGGCAGGGAGTAGAGGTATTCAGAAACCATTTTCCTTTCTCCTCAACTCAGACTTCTTTTTTTCCCTCTACACTAGTTCCTTTGTGGATTTGCAAGTGTCTGAAATAGTGCTATGAGGTATGGTAACTGTTAAAATAGATCAAAAATATTTGTAATAGTATAGAGTTTCAAATAGAAAAGATTGCTCCAGACATCTGAAGATATTCTTTTAGCCCTTTGTCAAAATGAGTGTTTATATTTTGCTTTCACAAAGAATAATGAAAAACATGGGGGTTTTTAACCCTGCATAGGAAAAGTTTTCTTGTTATACTGGGTGATGTATTCCACACAACTTTCATGGGAACTGTCATATCTGTGTTTACCTATCTGTGTTTCATTGTTACTTAGTGTCTCCGATCCGGGAGCAAATGAAGCAGATGCCCCAGGATTATTGCAAGACAGAAGCTGTGCTAGGGCAGAGTTGTATCTAGACATCAGCAGTGTCCAAGGTAACTTGTATCCTAGCAGCATCTTGGCTGCTCTGCCGAACTGCTAATAATACTGTGAACCTATAAGGGGGGGCCAGGGGGAGGAAGAGGAATTTGTCTCTGTGTGTGGGTATTGTTAAGGCTGAACAAATTAGATTCCCTCTTCCAGAGACTTTGGTGGGATCAGCTTTGTCTCTTCATTTTGCAGAATATAATCCCCCTCTTTCCCCAGCCCTAGCGTGGTCTTGTACTTAGCCCAGCTACTGTTAGAAAGCACGTGTGTAGGTGCTATGCCTGCCTCTCAGCAGCTTCTGTGAAGACATTGGTGGCTTTTTCCTTACTGGGCTTTTACACCCACAAGCCTCCAGCTATTTCCATGTATCCTCCCAGATTCCATTACGCTCCTTCAAACCTGTCCTAGCCACATACGGGTTACACTTCATGCTTTACCACCACAAGTAAGACATGTAGTTAAAGCATCAAGACTTCCAGCTCTCCACTCGCACCCCTGAGCTGTTCTTCACAGCTTGTGCTCCCTCTCTTCCTCCTGGCTGCTCCAGGTTTTGTTTGGCTCTCAAGAACTGGCTCAGGCTGAGCACTGGAAAAGGATCTTGAGTCTTTCTGTCTGTGATCAGTGCTCTACCAATCCTCTAGCCATCCCTTCTGTGATGAGGGGAGTATCTCTAAACAGGAAAACATCTCTGACTGTATTAGGTTTGCATCGAAAGGTTTTGGTAGTGGGGAGTTACAGGGGTGGCTTTGGTGAGAAGCTGCTAGAAGCTTCCCCTGTGTCCAACAGAGCCAATACCAGCCGACTCCAAGACAGACCCATCGCTGGCTGAGGCCAAGCCCATCAGTGACAGTGGTAGCACCTCTGGGATAACATATTTAACAAGGAGGGGGGGGAAAAACCCTCCTTTGTAACAGCAACTGCAGCTGGAGAGGGAAGTGAGAATATGTGAGAGAAAACTCTGCAGACACCAAGGTCCAAGAAGGAGTAGGAGAAGGTGCTCCGGGCATGGAAGCAGATTCCCCTGCAGCCTGTGGTGCAGACCACAGTGAGGCAGGCTGTGCCCCTGCAGCCCATGGAGGTTAACTATGAAGCAGATGCCCCCCTGCAGCCCATGAAGGACCCCAGGCCAGAAGAGGGGAATGTGCCCGAAGGAGGCTGTGACCCCATTGGAGAGCTGTGCTAGAGCAGGCTCCTGGCAGGACCTGTGGACCTGTGGAGAGGAGCCCACCCTGGAGCAGGTTTGCTGACAGGACTTGTGACCCCATGGGGGACCCACGTTGGAGCAGTTTGTGAGGAACTGCAGCCCATGGGAAGGGCTCATGTTGGAGAAGTTTGTGGAGGACTGTCTCCTGTGGGAGGGACCCCACGCTGGAGCAGGGGAAGAGTGTGAGGAGTCCTCCCCCTGGGGAGGAAGGAGCAGCAAAACCAACATGTGATGAACTGACAACCCCCTGTGCCACTGGAGGAGAGGAGGTAGAGAAATTGGGAAGAACGGAGGGGTGGAAGAAGCTGTTTTAAGATTTAGTTTCTGTTTTATCATTATCCTACTCTTGATTTGATTGGTAATAAATTAAATTAATTGTCCCCAAGTTGAGTCTGTTTTGCCTGTGATGGTAATTGGTGAGTGATCTCTCCCTGTCCTTATCTCAACCCACAAGCCTTCCATCTTACCTTCTGCCACCCTGTCCAGCTGAGGATGGGGAGTGATAGAGCGGCTTTGGTGGGCACCTGGCATCCAGCCAAGGTGAACTCGCCACACAGACTTTTGTAGTTAGGTGAAAGCTACAGCTTTTCTTAGCCATCCTGTATTTTAAGTCTGTGTAAATCTGATACATGCAGCTATTTCCCATACCTCTTTTCCCTTCTCCACATTTAAGATTTAGGCTGAGGTTCCTTAAACATCCAAAGGAATAGTTTCATTTACTCAGGATTGCCTTAGCTACCTAGAGAATTTGCATACTTTTTCAACCATTATTTCCTGTGGAGGAAAAAAAGAAAGGCTTTGTCTTTGTAGTGCCTGCAGCTTCCAGGGCGATTTAAAAATAACACCATGAAGAGGAGGAATCCAGAACTTTTATTGCTTTTCGATCAGCCCATCCTTCTTCCTCTCTAGCACAAAAGGTTTTTAATGGTGGTATAGTAGAAAAAGATACTGAAGCAGTTTCCATTAGCAAACAGAAGGCATTTTTTCTTCCTAAATGTTAATCAGAAGAATGTTGCCTACAGTATGAAGTAGAGCATGAAGATAGATTCTTTTAATGGCTGGAGTGCTGCTATGTAAAGTGTTCACTCTAGTAGTAAAACCTGCTCCCCCAGGAAGGTTCAAGGTGCTAGCTGCCTCTGTCTTGCCTCTAAATATACATATAGTTTTGCTTGCCAGGATTTCAGGAGCTTACATGTGAACTGGGCAGATTACTTATTAATTATAATTAATTAATTCTAATTATTAAGTACCACATATGGGGTGAACAAAAGCAAAAAAAATTGATCTTTGTTTTTAAATTGTGATAGCTAGTGCCATTTAAAATACCTCTGAGACCTGATTCAAGTGTATCCTGATTTTATGTCTGTAACCCTGGCATGGGTTGACCGTAGGTTATCTCCTATACATTTAGAATAAAATAACTAACTCTGTACGTTTTATGCATGCCTATCTTTCTCCCAAGTCTAGCTGGACTTGCTGATATCACTGTATTAGCAAACTCTGCAATAGAGCTGCAATTTGTATTGGCAAAAGACTTTCTTTCACTGTAACTTTCCCAGTTTCCTAAATGAAAGAGTGTCTCCTTCTGTTGGTATAAAAATGTCAGTTAGGATTGTGATTCTTTGAAGTATTAGGAGGGATTTATAGCATAGACCTGGTCTTTTAAATCAAGTTTTTAGTGTGAATATGTAAGATAGGCACTGCTGAAAAACAGAGTAGATGGAAGGGAATAGTTGCTTTCTGCCTTGAAGTTATAGTTAGGATGGAATTAACAACTGTATTTTTAGGAAAGGAGTCTGTTCTACAGGGTTGTTTGACTGAATTTGCGTGTCAGGTTGAGGAATCTAGTGTAGGGCAGAAAGAAGGAAGGTCCTTCTGAATTTTGAGAAGCATACCTCATATTTAGAAAAAATAACTGGAAAAGAGTCCTGTGACTTTTCTATTCCCAAACCCTATTGCTCTGTGATTTACTGTAAAAATAGCTACTTGCCTTTTCTGGCCCATTTTATGATTGGTATAGTAATATATTACTTCCACTTATATATGATGGTTTTTCATAGATGCCCAAACTCTGATACCCATTGTAATGTGAAACAACAGATTACTCTGGTTCCATGAATGCTCCTTCTGGCCCAGCTAGGACATGCTGGTGATACCTGGGTCTAAGAGGAAAGATCTAACACAAAGTTCTGTAATTTATTTTGGTAACACAAGCTTTTATCTGTTACAGCTCATGACAGACCTCTGGTTGGACACAGCAGTCATGACCTCAGGAGCAGCTAGGAAAGAACAGAACTAAGCTGACATTTGGAAACTTGAAGTGTATTTTGAAACTTGCTCAGTATTTTGATAGTGTTTGACAACTTCTAATATATTAATAGATAACCATACTAGAAACACGTACTAGAAATGCAGCATTTTATCTGAGGCAACTACTTCCTCTGCTCTGCTAATTTTGCTGTGATGCTTTTTATAGTTCACCACAGAAGGCAGATCTTGAATAGCATATAAAGCTCTTTGCTTCTGGAAAAAAGTCTTACTTTTTTAAAAAAAAGAAGAAACAGATCTTTACAAAAATAGATTTTTATTATTACAATAATTTAAAATATTTTTTTCACCATTTCTGAACAAACAATATTGTAAGAGGAATTATGAGTAATAGATCTACAGGCACAAGTGTTGTCATGGCTATGTTTCCTATTGGAGGTGTTAGGTCCACTTCATAGATCTGCATTTTCACAAGCTATCTTAAAATGACAGCAAAATATACTTCAGTGTTTGAAGGAGGTAATTATTGAGTGAAGCTTCCTAAGATGAAAAGTCAGAAGGAATAATTCTTCAATCTGTGTTTGCATTGAAAAGGTGAATCCTTACTTAAGGTTCACAAGCACGGTCCAAGCAGAGGGAAGATGGTGAAGCACACAGGTGCCAGAGGTCAGGGCCAGAGACACCATGCTGTTCATTGGCTTGGACATTTTTTGCATTCCAGGTTATCAATGGCAACTTAAAAATACTCCCTGAATGCAGAAACACTTCCACTTGATTGGACCCAATCTTGTTCATACTTACTGTCACAAAAGTTCAATTAAGTAAAATGCAGATTTTTAATAAATGCAAGATTGCTCTATTAAACTGTAGCCTGCCTCAATCACAAGAAATTAGTTTTGTTATGAATCAGAATAAGAAAACTCCTAGAACACTGTAACCTTCTCTATATTAAAGAAACAGCTGCAAAAACATTGTATATTCTTAGGAATTTCTGGAGCCTTAACATAGCTCAGTTTCTAGTATTTAAAGCACTATCTGTACAAAAATGTGTCTGAGTAAGTCTAATATGAATTAAGTCTCCTTAATGTAGGAAGGCTTTAGATTCAAAGAGCATCTCTTCATTTTTTGCAGTTGTAGTTTGCATTCATCTGCTTTAAACAAAAATAGAAGTTTGCAATGTATTTGTAATATCCAGTGATAACAACTTAAACTTTGAATTTCTGAAATGAAGTAAACCAGTCCACCTGGGTACCTAATAAAGTACTTTGTGGGTCCCAAGTTATGAGGATATAATAAAGTAATATAAGTTATCCCACAACATAAAAATTATTATGGGTCTTAACCATACACTGGGATTTCATATGGCTACTAGGAGTTCCCAAATCCCACAGTAGTTCAGTGAAATTTATGTGGCCAACTCCAGTGTATTTCATCCTTCATCCCCTCTTACTTCAGGATACCAATAAATATTTTGGAGAACAGCATTTGAGTACACTTTGAGACACCTTCACAGAGCCTGATTTTTCATGGGGAATGTACCTAACACTCAAAATCAGAGCTCTCCCTATGACTCAAGCTGAGTTCTCAGAACTAAGACTTCAGAAATCCTTTTTTTTTTTTTTTCCTGACTCTTGTCCTTAATAAATTTCACTGTCTGAAATACAAAACTTCATCATTGTGCTTACATGACTGCATTAAGCCTATTAAGTACAATTCAGTCATTTCTAAAACTGTTTCAACTACTTCATAGATCATCTCCAAACAAAATATTCTAAGTTGCAAGACATACTGAAAAGCTTCTTGTCCACATCTTCCCCATAATTTTAAAATATAAAGATCAAAGCAGTGCAAACTTAGTAGAGTGAATTGCAGTCTTTCAGTCCATTCTTCTAAGCTGACACTCCCCCTCCAAAGCTTTATTTTCTTCATTTAACTAAAGGCAACGTTTTCTGTAAAAACAACTACATCCATTAATAAAATGGATGAGAACCCTTTTTGCTTGCTATAGAAACAGCAAGATTTAAATGCATGAGGTGATGCACAATTAGGCAAAGTAATGCATTATCTATTATTATTGATCAATGGATTTGCAGTAGTTCAGAGTTTCATGTACCTGTTTCTGGATGTCCATCTCAGAGAACTCAAAAATTTTCTCAATCATAGGATTTAATCCAGTAGAAATTTCAGGCTCTCATCTCTCTGATCCACTGCATTCACCTTCCGAGCAAGAACTTGAGAACTTTCTTTACATTTTTAAGAAAATGAAATTGAAATTTGGGACACTAAAGAGAAAGAAACTAGATCCATTAGTGTAGTTTAAACTACTTTTTTCACTGATTGCCTGAACATTTTTTATTCTTTCTTTGCTCACAAGTTATTTCCTATTGCATCTCAGTAAGAGATTTGAATAATTTCATCTTCTTAGCCCACACTTCACCTATTGGAAGTAGAAACTTACACAAGAGCTTAGAACAATTTCTGTACAGCCTTCCACCCCTCTCCGTTCCTCACTTAATTTCAGTAGTCTTGTCATTTTAATGTTTGGTGAGTAAGAAGCAATTATGCAGCAATACAGAAAATACCTGATGGGAGTTCACCTTCAATTACACTGTCTGCTGCAGGCATAGTTGCATTTTTTTTGCTTTGTGCAATGCTTAGCACAAGAAGGTCCTCATTCATCACTAGAGGACCTAGGCATTACTGTATTGAAATAAATGGCAATGAACACTCGGTTCTCAATGGTGATTGCAATGATATGTTGTTAGATCACTATTGAGTCTAGCTCAGGTGTTCAGCCTGACCTAAGGATCACTGTAGTCAGCAAAGCTACAGAAGTGCTACCTGACATTCAGATCCTTCCTTGGGATTTTTTGTTTGCTATGCTCGTTAAGGATGCAATGTGAACTATATTAACTTGTTAAAATAGCCTTCACCATTTTGAAGATACTTTAGCAAAATACAAGGATTTTGACCCTGAATTCTGCAAACAGTGAATCATCTTATCAGTACATTCTTCCGTGTTCAATCTAACATCAGACACTGAGAATAATGATTTTTATTTTTTTTTTCTGGAAGACAAATGTTGATGCATCTTAAATCCTAGCTTATTTACTAGACATTATGACCCCTGTATCTGACATAAGGAAACAGATAGGTGGTAAATACTAATTGAAAGGCACCACTTGACTTTTTTTTTTTTTTTTTAAATCTTCGTAAATTTCCCAAGTCTAATAACAAAGGTTTTGTTTCACTACACAGATCTTGCACAATAAATCAGTTAGTGTGGAGACATATGTGGAAGTTCAAACCTGTGGTGCTTTCATATTACTAAAAACATATGAAGTAATGTAATTCTTTTGAAAATTATAACTAATTAATTCACAGTACTTGCTGCTTTTTTCCCTTCTTTCCCTCTCTCCATTTCCATATTTAACTAAACATACCTTCTTCCCTGGGACCAGCCTCTGGTACCATCACACTTTGTATGTTTTAAATTGAAATGTTTTCTACAAAAATGAAACCCTTTTTCTTTTCCCACTCCAATAATCTCCACTGAGGAAAAGGTTCACCACAAAAGTGGCTGAGGATAAAAACAGACAACCAAAAAATTCTCAAGTTTTAGACAGGTCTATGTTCATTGAGATAGTGGTTCAGGAACAATTCAGCCTGAACTACAGCATCTCTGAAGACGGAATTTGTCCTTTTTCAAGGCTAATTCTCTTCATCCTGAATATTATTTGCTAGATATCATGGAAGAGAAACATAATTTTAGCTGTGATTTGTACTTGTAGGTTGACTTTTGACGTAGGACACTGACAAAAGAGAAAATTATGGGGTAATAGAAAAGCAAGCTCTTCAGGATGTTAATCAGAATCAGTCTTCCTGTTAAATGTCTCCTCCCTCAGGTCTTGACAAGGTGATGGCTTTTGGAGGATGGAGGTTCTCAATATCTGTGTGCTGTACCAGATACCGTGGCTTCTGTCAATCACTTGTGAGTTTGCCTTGCTTGCTGCAAGCCGTAATAGATTATTATTTTGTCTACTTCAGAGAAACTGGCTCAATGGGCCTTTCTGTTCCTAAGCGTATGTCATCTTCCCAAGATAATTAGATGGTACATATCCTTTCTGACCTTTTGCTTCTGCTAGCCACCATTCTTTATTGCCACTTAGGTCAGAAAACCGAAGTATCCTAACCTTCTGGTACTCCTGAAGACTGAGTTCCTGATCATTTCTTGCTTGAAATGCATAAACAGCATAAAAGGTCTGTAAAAGGAAATCCACAGAAACCAAAATCTGAATTCAGAAATGTAGCCACATCTTACCCTGTTATTGCATATTAGTATGAATTCTGTATACAGAAAACGTGTAGTAACATACTTGAACCAGTATGCGACTACATGGTCTGCAATTGCTAGACAGACTACAATGAACAGGGCCAAACTAAAAAGTAAAATTGAAGGATCTGGGGAATTCTGCATGGGGAGGAACAAACCAAGCTCTGAGACCTCATTGGCTTACTACACTAGTAAGGTTTTCAGCTCACACCAAGTGCCTGTTTCTGTCCCACCAAGCAGCCTTGGATTGGATGGAGAATTTTCTAGCAAGGTTTCCTCAGGAAGAATCAATCACCTTTCCTAAAGCTCCTGTACTCAAATGTGACACAACTCACTTCTGTGCCTTGCTGACCAGCATTGCCACAGATTTCTTGTCAAACATCAGTAGAAAAATCCCCCAGATTGAGCTATTTTGCAGGTTCCTTCTCCATAGGAGAACCTTGAAGCATTATATATGTGGTGTGGTAATGCAATGGCATGTTTTCTGTGAGATGGGACCACAGTTCATGGTTTAACTGATTATCCTTTCCTACCTTATAGCTATTTAAGAAAGGCAAAGAACAGAGGATAATGAATTCCCATGTCATACTGACAGATTGCCAGTCTTTTCCAGTGTAAAAGAAAATCTTTTCAATTATGAGCAGTACCATTCTAGATTTGAAATAGGAACAATGAGAAGACAGGCACAAGTGTGTATCATACTTACATGCTGGTCATCCATATCCTGAAAAGCATCAGTCCCTGTGCCGTTAATCATGGAATTTTCACAGAAATGAAGAGATGAGCTGCTGTCACTCTCCTTGTGCCTTGGACCTCTTGTGCTGCTGTCAGTAGAGGGCCGTGAAGAAACGAAGAGGCTGATGTTATCAAAATCATCATCACCAAAGTTGTTTTCTGCTATATCCTTCTGTGCTTTGGCTGGATTGTAAGGCCTCAGGAAGGAGGAATACACATACCCTTTAAGGACTAGACACCAGAATAAAAAGAGAGAAAATAAACAAACAGCAAAATACTGCTAAAACCATTTCAAAGCCAACCATTTTATGCAGCTGTCAGTATGACAGAGGCAAACAGATGGGGCCAGAATGAAAAGAAATCAATATCCCAAAGGGAAGCTGTTATTGGGATGTTTGTGCAGAGAACTTACTTCCTGTGTCAACAAGCCATCTGCTCGTAGTTCCAAAGGGGTCCTTTTGCTCCACAACAGCCACCAGTTCTCCTTCATGTAAATCAATATCAAATTCCTGCGTGGCATTGCACTTGCGCTTAGCTTGGTATATCAGTTCTATGCTGTACGTAGACAACAGCTTGGACCTTTGGCCTTCTGTTTGACGTGGGGATTCGAGCTGAAAAGCAAAAAAAAAAAATTCACTGGGAATAAAGCTAAGGCCATTCCTAGGCAACACGGGTGCATAGAAAACAGTGTATGCTGCATGTGGCAACTGATCCTACATTTTTACACCCAGATCAAGGAGTTACTTACACAGTTATAGGTAGCCAAATGCCATATGCAGCGAGGACCTGTCCAACTCCTATATTAACAGGTGAGCAATAGAGAGCAAATTTTAAAGAAATGTAGGAATTTCAATTAAAGACCTCTTAGTCTGTCCTCTGCTCTCAAAGAGACGGTGTTCTGTATGTCAAACATCACTTAAAACTTAATTGTTTTTCCATAGCAATGATCTCTGAATTCCTATGTGATATCACAAAAAAAAAGCATAATCCAAAAATCACTGAGGTGTGCTAAGGTCATGTAACAACTTGGATTATAAGGCATTAGACAAAAAAAAACCCAGTGGTACCCAAACGGTCTGATTTTTGTGTGAATTTACTTCACTAAATAAGGGCAAGGTGCTATTAACTGCTGGAAGCATATCCACTAGTCTGGTTAGAGGGCAGAGAAGGAGGTGCTGCACATCAATGTGATCTTAACATACCACAGAAGCAAGAGCACATGTGCCTTAGTGACGCTGAAAGGAATCCTTCAGCTTCTCCTGTAAATCTGCATTTGAGTTTTTATTTTACTGTAAACTAGACTCCTAAAAGTTCTGGAAATGTCTGATAAGATTTAGAACCAGGGGGACACAGATTTTGTGGTAGATTTTCTGAATCTTCTGCTGCAGGGGTGCATATGTGTGCATATATGTATAAATGCCAGTATGCATAACCACAGCTGAGGATGAGGAAAAAAGTTATGAATTAGAAGACTCAGATGGACCATAAGAGTATTTAATAAAAGAAGTAATCAAAGTTTATGTATACAACCTTAGACTTAACATAAAGACCTAAGGGTAATCAGAGATAATTTGAAATGGATTTTCAAAATAATAACATGAAAACAGAATGAAAAATCTTCAGAAGTTACTGTTAAATGGAACATTTATTCCAACAATCTGATTCAGAGCCCCAGTGAAGAGACCAAGCCCAAACTTCTAGGTGGCATAAAAATGGATTTGTTTCAAAAGTAATCAAAAGAGGATGCTTCATGCACAATTCGGACATATGGTACTCACTGGAGAAGGGACAGGTTTCTTTTTTTCCAAGCTCAATTTTCTCTCAATGAACGTTGCACTGCTGTTTTCTTTTACAAAATTCAGCTTGTGAACCTCCTCCATCAACTGATTCTGCACTTCACAGATGCTTGAGAAAGACAGCTGCAAACACAAAGGTGGCTTAGATCTCATGAACAAAATGGTAAGGAAATTTGAGAGAGCAGACTTGGTTTAATGGGCTGAACGCTAGGAGTCGGGATATCTGACAAGTTCCTGCTCTTTTCTGCAGAGCCCATAGTGCTAAGAACAAGATGGAAAGAAAAGAAAGATCTTTGCTTAAAGAAGTTTCTAATGATTGCTATTAGATTTAAAAGACATACTAATATAACTTAAATCATTAAAAATATTCTAGACAGTGATGAAAATGAACAGCCTTGCACTTATGTTACTGAGCCACCTGCTTTCAGATGCAAATGTGCATTTCAGCAGCTATCAGAGAGGCCAAAGTGCTGTAATGCTTGGAGTAGTTTACCCTACAGCTGTGTGTTTGTGCAACTGGGTGCTGCCAAAAGGTTAAAAATTGCTGGATAAGCTGAAGCTCTGAGGCACTGGATAAGTGCTCTTGGTCTGTGCATAACCCCAAATGTATTTGCTGATGTAAATAGGGGAAAAAATAAAGTAATTTTGTAGGCAGAGCCTCACAGAAAACAGTGCTCAATACAACAGCTTTCAAAACATGAAATGGTCAAACTACAGGGATGCAATTTCTTCATGCAGGAAAAGCATTCATTTTCCCATTAAAGAGCACCAATCTGTTTTGATCCTGACCTTGCTTTCTTAATTTTTCAGCTGTCCCTGATTATAAAGTGCTGTGTTCAAGCCTTGATGTAAAGGAATACTCCAGAACTGTCTCACTACAATGTGTTTCCTGTCTGGAGTCTTGCTCTGGTTCAGGTGAGTGGATTTGGATGTGTGGAATGCATCATTGCAGCTATGTTTCTCAGGGGATTCAAGTCCTCTAGGAAGAAGTACCACAAAACTGAAACGCTGTAGGATTTCCACACAAATTAAGAATTATTTCTCAACTTCAATCTTCAGGTAATGATCATAGTGCCCAGAAAGAGTGGAGTGGGCTACAGGAACTGATGCCGTTCTGTGTAGCTCGGGCATCTTTGGTACCTTTGGCTACATAAGTGAAATAATTCAAACTTCCTAAAAACGCCAACGTGGACAAAGCTATTCCTTACTGCCTAGCGGTGTCTGCAGGAGCTTCTGAAGCATATTTGGGTTTAAAAGCAACTTGCTTTTCATATAAATTATTTCATCAGATCTCCTAACCTGTTTCTCTTCTGCAGTCATCTGCAGTGACTCTGCAGGCCTAGCAACGGCAGCATTCATGTACATACTTAGAATTTCTCTTCTTGTGTTTTCCGGGCTGCTCAGGGTAGATGCTAAGAAACAAAGACTGAAATGCTAGCAGCTGCCTCCTTTTTGCCTTACTATAATGTTTTTGCCATTACTATCACTGTAGCAGCTGGAACAGCTGCATTAGGATCACTCTTCATTAAAAGTCCAGGCCTGATAAAACTTAAATGCAGAAATTAAACTTTCCTGAGCTTGCAAGAAAAAAACAAAAACACCACAAACCAAACCCAATTTCGACTGCTTAGCAGAACAAACAAAATCAGTGTAGCTTGTAGGTATGTGTCCTAAATAACTCTAGCCAAATCATACAGAAAGAAAAAAGACAAATAAAGGCAAAGCTACAGCCGTTTCTAATGTACTTACTGGAACAGGCACCACCACAGCAGAATTTGATTGAAGTGCTGCAGACATAATATTCCTGAGGAGGGTGATGAAGCAATGCAGGCAGTTCAACACAATCTTTTTGGCTGCTTTGTTGAATACCTGAAGTTCTTCCACTAGCTGTGCATTTAGAGCCTCATAGTCTTTCTTTGCTAGGTCTGGCTCTTCTCCTGTTGACCTCTGAAGGTAGCTGTTGTAGTCTAACAACTTGTCATAGCGCTTCTGGATGAGCTTCTGTGGGCCTGAGAATAAGGCTTGTAGTGCTGAAAGAGGAGTCAAAACAAGCTTGTCCATCTGAGCCATCTGAAAATGTATAAAACGGGTCTAGTTATTACTTTATTCATACAGTTCTTCAGACTGAGTAACAGGTTAAACCTGATGGCAGCCTATCAAGCAATCTGTAAATTTCTCTTCACAAAGCATTGCTGTCAGAGGCAGCTTCAAGGAGGGTCTAGCATGAATCTCCTTCATGACGTTGCAAAGGAGAGAGAACAGTTTTGCAGTTTAAAATGTCTACTAATGGTAATGGTCCCCTGGAGCATGCAGCCTGTGGTACTGCCCTTAGTGCGCTACCACTGAGGAAAAACTGGGCAAGGGTCAGTGAAGTGGCCCAATAAAACTGGGATTTCCATAACTGGAAGGCCCACACCAATATACAATCTAGGGGCATTGAGGTCTTGTTAAATGTCAGTCTTGCAGTCCTGAATGCTATCAAAGCTGCTTGCCTTTTTTTTTTTTTTTTTTTTTTCCTGGAAACAGCTGTAACTCAATTCCTGTTTAAGCAAACACAAACAATCACTTGATTTGATTAAATTATGTTATGCTTGTTGGCTTTATCTCTAGTAATCAACAAAATTAGACACCTGGTAAAAAAAACAAGCCTTTCTCAGACTTTTCCATCAGTCTCTAATTGTCTCGGGGGATTAATACTGCACGAAATAAAATTTATTTTTGTAAGTCACTTCTTCAAATACAGCACAGGCTTGTAGTGAGTGAAACTCATCATCATATTAAAGCTCTTGAACATTCTATGTGAATTAAGCTGTTGGGTTGAATGGGAGAATAAAAGAGCAGCTGTCCCCCTACCCTCTGTAACACAACACAGTTGAGGACAGATCCATATTAGCAACAGAATTGCTCTCCCAAAGCTAAGATGATGTACACTGGCAAGACAGTTCCTACTTTATTGCCACCTGAAAAACTGGGCTGTGTTTAGTGAACCAATTTTTGATGCATTAAGAAAACAGTTTTTCCAAACTGCTGGACCTGATTTCTGGAAGAGAAGAGGCTATTGTGGATTTCTACCCTAAAAGTATAATGAGAAAGGAAGGTATTAATTATTGACAAATGCACAAAGGAAAAAAAAATAATCTGAGCTCATTGCTGAGATCTCTGTTGATAATACCCTTTCAGGAAAACATGTGAAGAATGCTATAGGTTGTTCGGTAAGAACATCTACTCATCGTGCAATGTCAGGAGAAAAGTTTTTTTAAAAAAACTGATACATAGGATAGAGAATGCTTGTAATCTTGTAAATACAAGACACAGAAATAAATAGATAATAAGTAGAAATTAACATGGTTAATAACAAAGTCCTCAGTTGAAAAGTATAAGATTATTTTTTTTTTAAATTATATAGACCTTCAGAATAGCTGAGTCATGAGCCAATAGGAGCCACAAATTTTTTCAGAAAAAAAGTTTTCAGTTTCATCTATTTTGGAATTGGTTCTGGTTTTCTTTAATGTTTCTGAATAAGGGGACATCTTACATACTGGACACACTCACCACTACAATGATAGAGGGGTACTCTTCTGCACTTTATGCACTCATTCATTGTAAAGACATTGAAAATATCTTTCCAATTATTGAGATTAATTTTTGAGATTCTTTTCAAATGTGGGAACTTCAAAGGAAAGGAAGTACAACATCTTACTTCCCTGTCATTATCTGGGAGGATGTGGTCTGCCAAAGATCCTTCTGTTTCTTGGCAGACTCTGTTTTCAGTGTTTTGAAAAGGATTGAATAGGTAAATTTTAGCCAGCACAAACCTAAGAAAGTATAAGAAACCCCCTGCCTCTGAATTTTTCCAGCTTGAGCAGCTGTTTGAAGAAGCAGCCTGCCCCATTTTGAAGAGACATTTTAGTCTATCTTAGTAGAGCCAGGCATTGGAGTTCATTTGGACTCTGAAAGCAAGAGACTAGTTTAAAAACTTTTTTTTTTTAAATGTTTTTTTAATTCCTATGGGCTATATTCAGATTTTTCATGCTTTCCCTACATGAAGGATAGTAACTTACCTGAAAAGGTAATAAAGCTGCGATTTTCACAGATCTATGATTCCAGAAGCTAGTAGTTCATGAACACAACAAAACTCAGAAAAGTCACTGTAAAACTGCAAGTATTGGTAACAGAAGTCAGAAAGCAATAATCTGCTGCTCTTGTCTGAAGCTCAGGTGAAATGTGCAAATTTAGCAAAGATTTTAGTTTAAACCCAGGAATTTAGCTTCAGAAGTTTTCTTTAGCTCTTCTAGGGAAAACACAATGCACTTACACTGAATTTTATCTTATTTCTTACAGAAACTCAACCAAAAAAAATGTTTTCTCACACACACAAATAGCTGTGTAACACTGGACATTACATAAACTTACAAGGTCTTCACAGAGATTTGCAGTGTTGTTCCGTTTTTTTAAACAGTCATTGACTTCATTGTCTTTGTCTTGCAAGATTTCCTGAAGCCCAATTATATTCTGTGCAGCCAGATGCATAGAATCCTAAATTGTAGGAAGATGAAACTGCATTACTATCTGCTTTAATATACTGCATTCACTCATGCAGATACTGCAATAATACTGATTGAATCAGAAATATTTTCCATCTCTGACACCTGTGCAGTTTCTGTGCAGCTTCCAGCCATTGTGGAATTGTTTACTGTGATAATATTTTCTTGTGTTTTGTCTGTTTTCAATGTAAACTATTTAAGAATCGAGTTGTTGACGTTCAACTGAAAAAAATATGGCCCAACCTAATGAAAGTCCCACTGGAAGTTAGCTACTGCTCAGCAAGAAACCAGCTCCAGACCCGTGCACCCTCGCAGGCCTCCTCTGGAGGACTAAGACAGACTACAGTGGTATATTTAACTTACTGTGAATTTTAATCTTAATAAAGAGTGCATCTGTTTGCATAACGAACTATCAACACCATTCCAGGGAACAACCCTTGTTGGCTGAGCTCACTGGCCTTCCCCTGTTTGTTGAACCAAACAAGGTGCATTTGCGATAAGCTCTGGCCAGCTGGCTATTGATCTTACCTACCTCTCAAACAACCTTTGTGTCGGGTTTGGGCACACTTACACTTTGAAGGGCCTCATGCCATCTACAAAGTTGGCAAGCTGTCCATGAGAGGGAAAAGCTGATAAGTTACAAGCCCAGCCACATCTTCAGAGAGGAGGATTAAAGCATGGACGTTTACAGCACTTGAGGACTCTGCACATCCAACGCTAGCTGTCAACACTACCTAGCAATAGGATAAAGCAAGGAGTTCTTACATCCAAAATATGTATTTTAGGACATTTTAATTCATGTGGCTGCAACTCAGTTCTTCCATTTTTAATGAGAAGCAGTTGGTGCTCCACTGCTGCAGATGTGCATGACATATATGACGGCTTCACACAGTGATTGAAAGTCCTAACTCTGCCACCAGACAGCACATTCTTTTCTGCACTGCACTCATGGATTTCCATAGAGCCTGCTTGTGTAAGGGGAAAAATGCAGAAGTGTGGGCTTCAAAACTTCTTTGCCATGGGCTCGGTAATGCAGCATCAGCACAGCTTATTTATTTAATGCTGTGATGTAGACAGACTTGCCTATAAATAATTTGGTGTTGCCTAACCAGTGGCAGAAATGTGTGTTAAACTGGTTATGGACATGTTTTATGGCCACAGATTTCAAAAAGACCTGTACCCACCTGTAGATGTTGCGAAGAGAGTGAAATATTCTTCACACACAATTTCACCGTCTTCTCTAAACTTCGAAACAATTTTTCTTCCTTATTAAAATTTTGATCTTTCACCTAAAATAGATGCTTGCACCATTATTTTGGCAGTCCAAAAGAGCCTGGCTAACGAAAGAAACGTCCAGAGGACTGCTGAAAACATCCCAACCTTCCCTGAACTCCTCCATTTGAAAACAGAACAGACCAGCCCCTAGCATTCCCAAACTCCAGTTTTAATTCAAGAAAAGTCAAAGGCACAGGACAACATGACAGAGAATTTAAGTTTTAATCCTTGTGGAAGCAGGGAGTTGCTTTATTAAAGCACACCTACTTGTGCCAATAAAACTCTTCATTTTCTGTATTTTGCTGCTCCATTTGAGGAAACAATGGTAAAAAATCAGAGATATATTTATGTCATGGCATTACTTCCCTGGGTGCTTATTTCTGGGTGATGTGGACATTTCCCCCAGGCAGGCTGTAGGTGGAGCTGTTACCTCTAGAGCAATGCTAGCTCTTCAGCTAGAAACCTCAACAGCTGGAAATAGGCTTGTACTAATTTTTTATGCTAGCTGAAAAAAAAAAAACCAAAAACCAAACCAACGAAAATACGTTTATTTCTGCCTACCTTTCACTTGAGGAATTTGAGAAATCTCAAGTCTCGTTTTCAGTGACCTTGCTGTAAGGGTCACAGTGTTTTTCAGAGATGTGAACTGGGAACTTTCTTAGTCTAATTAAGCAGGAGAGAGGGCTGAATCTTTAACAGATGTATCCTGATTCTAAAATGATTCTCAAATGTTTTAAGCTTAATTAAGAAACAAAACCAAAAAAACCCATAAAACAGAAGCTTCGAAAGAGACAGAAAAAAAAAAAAAGAAAAATCACATCTCCTCTTAATCAAATTTGATTCCTGTTTTTTCTCTGATTTTATAGCCTTGCTGGTGTCCCATTTTGAATACAAAAATTTCCACCGTACAAATAAATGAACAGAAAAAATAGATGTGGGTAGTTTGCATCAGTGAAAGGGGGAAACCACTGATAAAAAGCAAAACAGGAAAAACCAGCACATATCTTGTAAAGTCACATCTAGAAAGGCAAGTGTCCTTGTATAATCAGCCATCTCATGCAGTGAGGTGCACTGGATATAATTTTCAGATCAGTTGCAATTGATTTTCTTTGAGATTCAGATGTAAGCTTTCCTGAAAATGTTTATTCTGCTAGGTTTTTAATTACAACCTTGAAATTATGAAGGGGTGTTTTATTTTTGGCCACCCAACACCCATTGGACTTATCACAGGGTTCTCTGCCTCTGGTAGTTTTGACTGTTCCAGGTTTTTACACATGTAGAGGCAAACCCCCCTGTCCTTCCTAAACAGAAGTATTGCTCATCTTCCTTGGTGGGTTCAGATTCTGAATGTTAGGATGTGGAGCAAGACAAACTGAACACATTCTCAGCACTGAGAATAACTATTGCCAGTCTATCCACAAAGCACTAATCTCAGACTGAGTTTCACAAAACTGCCAGTCACTTCCTCTCTGCTGAAGATCAGAAGTTTGAGAAACTCTTAGATAAAAAAGGAAAAGGTGGAGAACACATTACGTTATTTTCTATTTCAGTCACAAAGATCTTTCCTGTCTTCTGTGACATTCAGAAAATGACTTTATAAATGATGCAGAAAAAAAGCAACACCAGAAACTCCATTTCCAATGTGTTTTAAAAAATGCCCAGTGCAAAAGCAGAAGCTGTCAATGCAAATCTGCAGTTGGATGAGTAAGTACCTGAGGTTCTCCCCCTGTCAGTATTTTCAGATGACTGGTGACCCTCTTGGATTTCTTGCTAATGGAGTGGATATTCAGTCGGGAAAACTTTTCTTTAAGGGTTTCATCATCATCATTCCTCTTATACTTCAGCACTGCAGACAGAGAATTTCATGACACTAATAATCTGTATTCACAGGGCTTTTCACAGGGACAGGCACACAAATATGAAACCATTTGAGAGCAGACACTTTGATGTCACTTGCTGTAATCTTGTGTGAAAATGCTTGAGATGATGAAAACCCTGTTATCAACGCTAGCCTTGGGAAGAGTGAAGTTCTGGCTTCTATGTGGCAAGTCTAAGAAATATTGCTATTACTGCATATTAATTATTATCAGTGTTTGCAACTGCATTACAGACAATGAACATGGATATAACATGAATTCTTTCATCATTTTCATATTTCTGGAGTTACCAGTCAGATAACATAGCTGGCTGCAGACAAGTAACATTAAGGCATCTTGAAACCCAGGATATTACTCAATTTGGGTAGCACCAGCCAACCAAAACTGTTGTAGTGATATGACTGGAGTTGAAATCTCTCTTGTAATTGCCAGCCCAAACCTACAAAGACAGAAGAACTCACTGTGCCTTTTTCTTACCTAAATCTTTCCTCCTTTTAAGTTCATTGATGTTGACATTAATGTTTTTCATAGCGAAAAGGGCGTCTTGTAGCACCTTGTGGTCAGGGTGAGAAGCAGGAGTTGAATTCAAGAGTTCACAGAGTAACAAGGGATATTTCATCACCCGTTGCACTGGTTTGATCATCAGGGATCCCATGTCCATTAGATTTGGCTTTCCTCTATAATTTATACCAAAAAAAATGTCACATAAGGAGAAACGCCTTGAAGACAAAAGCTTCTTATTATTTCTGTCTAGTCATTGAAGCTGCTGCCTTTTATAGCCTTCACTTGAGCTTTCAACTACAGAAAATATCAAAACAAGAGCAGTGCTTTGCACTGACTCATAGAACTGCAATTACCACTTCAGTAAAAAAATAAGATATATCTGTCAGGGAACATGGGCCACTGTAAACGAAACCCTCCTGTCACCCCCTCAATGAGAAATACACACTAGGTCTGAATTTTCTCTGTCTTCAGCAATCTACCAGACTATTGCTTAGATATCAGCTCTGAAACTGTCCCACTCAGTCTGAGGGTTCGTGTGGTACAACTTACACACCACAACACCCAGGAAGGGACATGTAGGTGGAAGAACAAAAAACAGGAAGCTTGAGAAGCCCCACGTGAGTGGGTCTATTACATCCTGCTCTGGCCCCTCAGGCTTAAAATTGCAACATCTCCCTGCTGTAACTGGGATGCCCGTTCATGGCTACATCCCTTCTCATAACATCTCTCAAGTTGCCACAGTGACCCTTAAGCTTTACTGTCCTTTACCCATCACTTTTCTTCACTGGCTGCCAGTAGGTTACTTCCAATGATGCCTGAGCTTCCAAAGGATACCAGATCTGGCTGGGGAAACACTGAGCATACAGGATGTTCACCCAGGCCTGATCCAACCTGCTGAAAGTCATCTTACATAAAGGCAAAGCAGGCAGCTGCCTAGGGTGGCAGAATGATGAGGGTAGGGAAGTCACAGATTCCAGCATGGGCATAGGGCCCCTCTGCGGCTCCAGGCTCGATTCTCGTTGACTCAGCAGGGGCAGCAGTGGAGCTTCCTCAGGCACCTGATCTCTCTGGCCCCCACACAAGGGAGTTAGTTACCAGACAGCTGAATTCATCCTCCAGCCCCACTCTAGACAAAAGCCTTTGCTCACGCTCTCTAGGCTTGAAGGGGAGAGACTGTGCAGCTTGCAGGCTGGCACAACAGCCTGGAAGAAAACAGGGAAGGGCAAGACTGAGCCACAGGTGCCTTCATTACTTTCCACATGGCTGGTGGAAACATGGGGTGTCCCCAAAGTAGGTAACACCAGGTGGTCAGGCCCTAGAGCCGGGGCCAGACCCTACTGAGGCTCCCAGCAGGACAGACATGTCCACTGTTTCCTCCTTACAGCCACTCCTGAGCAAACCAGACACCAGTGCTGGCACCAACTAAGGGTGACTCAGAGACCTCCCCTTTGAAAGTGAGCATGAGCTGTTGGCATCAGCGTGAAAGTCAGTAAAGCAGAGGAAGCTTTCCATTTACATGCCCGAAAAGGCTGCTTTGGAGAGGAAAAGGTTGTCTGATGTTATGCAAGAGTTAATGCTAGTCAAAGAAAGAATTCAGCATATGGAAAGATGGAATAACACAATGTAGAAGGAAAGTACAAAACCCAGGGAACAGCCACTTGGTTTTGCCGGCTGACATCTATTGTTTTGTGCAGCAGAAAGAGTAAAAGAGAAGAAAAAAAAAAAAAAGCTTTCATTCCCACTTTTATATGTATAAAAAGTACAAGAGCCAATCCTTACTGCTGACTAATTAACTAACAATTTGAATGCCTTTGAGAAGAGACATCTGCATATTTAAACCATCTCTCTCACACAGGCATTATCTGTAAGAAAGTTCTGCATGAAAAAAATTAACAGTAGATGCCTTTTAAGGCTTCTTGATGTCCCCAAACCTTCTCATCATTACAATCCCCCTCATTTTCCATGTATCCTACATTAAATATAGTGAGCTATTTTCCCTTCTTTCAGCTTCTGGCAGCAATAATGAAAAAAAAAAAAAATCTTAAATTGTTATTGTTTTCTCTGAAAAGCCCCATGAATGCAAATCTATAAAAGCTGCCTCATGAATGGAAAAATCTTCAAGTGTCTTTTCTTTATATAGTTGCACTTTGGACAGCTGCCCAAGTGATAAACAGCCCTCTGTTCACGTATCTGCATGACACAGTCTTGCAATATGGTTCGAGAGATAGTAGGTTTGTTATAAGATAATGACTCCCTGGGGCACTAAATGCCACAAAGTTCAACTCATCTAATTCTCCCCAGCAAGATTAGCTGATGATAGCCACTCTCTCTGGACGGGTCCCATTTGCAATGCGCCCTGTTAGGATGCACCAAGCCACTGGGCCAAACACACGTGGCAACTGAAACAGGCGAGTAATGGCTTGTGACATCTATTGTGCAGAAAATTAAGTTGATAATTAATTTGTGATGGTACTTCAGCCTTCTCCCCCTGTTATTTTGAATTTAGCAAGTATCCTAGGTCATATGTAGCTGTACTAATCTCATCACAAATTATTACCATAGCTTTGCAGTAAATGCAGCTGGCTTAACTGCACTGAGCTCACAGCATACCCTTCCTCCCTCCTCCTGACAAAAGAAAGTCACAAATGCAGCAAGATTCCCACCTGTTTAAAATTAAACACATGGTGGTGAGCTATGCAAAGATGGGTGATTCAGGATTTAGTTTCATTTGCTCTCATTACCCAAAAGCTAGGCCCAGTGGCAAACATGATAGCCACTATGGTACAGCAGGGCTGAGGTTTGTCATATTCAGCTTGGCAGTTTTGAAGTGGTGTGCAGACATCATAGGCTGCAGCACGACTTAAAATCTCAAGCTCCATGGTTTAACGTGCATGAGTTCATTTTAGTACAAGGCATGTAGGGCAAAAAATTCACCGTGCTGTAAGACTCTCATGCAAACCCAGGGAATTCACCGAGGCTGCACAGTTGTTAAGCCAAGCAGAATTTAACCTATTGAGCTGCTAGCAAAGGGCAGCAACTGTCTGGTATTTATGTAATTGTTTTCTTTATCATGCTTGAATGAAAAGCAGTCTGGGAGCAGCAACATCACAGACCATTTAGGGCGAGTTAAACTGTTTTTTCCAGTTCAACGTTAACCAGATTTTTGGGTGTGGTTCTGCCCAAGGGCTGCTGAGACTCTGCAACCTCTAAACTGAGTTGCAGGTAATGGCATTTCTGAGGGGCCTGCTGGTCAGCGGGGAAGGCAAATGCCACCACACAGCCCCACACTGTGAGGTAGCCAGGCTCAGGGAGGGTTCCCACAGCTAATCCTGGCTTATTATTTCACTCTGCACAGCTTTATAAGAACCAGTTTAAACTCAGAAAGTGAGTTGTATCATACACTCTAATGGAGACTGTTCCAACAAGAAAAACAGGCATTCATTTCTGATAGGGTTACACAAGGCAGAGCAGCCAGTCTTGTGCTATTTCTTTGTTGCTGTCTCACGTGATCTTATTGTGGCTCTCTGGACATTTTGTTCCTCTTGGAGCCCAGCTCATTGGGACACAGGAGTATACAAAAATGTCTCTTATCAAAACAAAATCTAGAAAAACTATTTCCTATCATAGACTAAAGCTTGAAAACCCCAACTGTAGAACTTCAACATACAAATCCTTCAAAGTGTATTTTACACTGATCTTATTTATGACATGCAATTGACTGCCTGATTAACAAATTCTCTGACTTTACAGGTGTGTTCCTCTCCTACCAATATAGAGCACACTTGCTCCCTTTTTCTCTCATTTCTGTCAGGTTGTAATAATTTTCTTCAGTTCAGCTAACCCCTTCTCTGACCTCTCCCTGCAGGTAACTTCAGGACATGCTAAATTTCAATGATTCCAACCTGCTGGATGTCCAGAAACTGCAGCTGTGATAAACGTTCCTTTATAGGTTTTCAGAGATGTCACATTTGGCACAGAAGTCCCTTAACCACAAGTTATTGGTGGCTGTGTGAGAACTCGCAAAGTGCTGCAATGAGCTTGTTCTTTTCTGATGTTCCTCCAGCCACTCTCAGTGGGAAGATCCTAAGGTAGACTTCTCATGCAGGGCTACCAAAGGAGTCGTCACCTTAGAGATAGCTTTACCTGTGAACCTAACATGTATTGTAGCAGGTCTAAAGAGTCCTATGCAAAATTATTGCAGAGAGTCTGGATTTCAAAGACTGACACAATTTTGTTGCAAGAACTTTTGGGGACCTCAGAGCTCTCTAAGCACATTTATTTACAAGACAGCAAGGTGATAATAAAGGGCTCCAAATGAATTGGCAACCAAATTAAGCAGCTTCATAAGCCACAAATTTTGAAAGATATGGCAAAGCTAGTGCAGTGGTAATTAGAAAACTAGACAGGCTTAGGGAAACTAAAACTGAGAGTCTTTATCACATATATCCTGGAAAAATCTATGGGTTTTACTAACACAAAAGGTTGTTAAAATTTCCACATGTACAGCTTTAAGCATACTAAATTAAAGATATTTTAAAGTTTACTTTACATGTAAGAAAGGCATAGTACTTACTCTTCCTCATATATCTTTCTGCAAAAGAGAAGAAAACAAAACACATATTAGATTCCTCCTAAAAGGATTTATACAGATCAGGGGCTAGATTCTCGGATACACTTCAGTGACACAGAGCAGCTATAACTGGCCAGTTAACTTAGGTTTATGGCTGCTATGTGTCAGCAGAACTGCACACAACAGCCGGAGGGTACCAGTGTATCTGGCCCTATATCTTTTTGAAAGGACAGCCCCAAATGAGAAAGGATTGTCAGAAACCTGGCTTTGACTATAAGACCCAGACTTGTCCTAACACTGTTAGAGAAGGAAGTTTGGGTCACTGTGCCAGCAACAGTAAGTAACATCAAGTCCTTAATACAAAAAGTAAAATTAAACATGGCATTCTTACACTTCATATACATTCACATTTACTCTCTTTAAATAAAAATGTATTTCTAAATGAGAAAGAATACATTTCAGCCTTTTAGGATATAGAATCAGTAAAACTGTTAAGTTTTTTGTAGGCAATACCAAGAAGGAAACCTCTTCAGTGTAGGATGGTATTGATACATACTCTGAAAACAGCAGGGACATGCAATGGTAGTTTGGAAACATGCAAACATGCATATAATATTTTCCTTATGGTATGAGTTCACTGAAATGCCAGGGTACCAAAATGTTGTTCCATCCCTGTGTTAGGCTTTCCTGACATCACATCATCAACCACTGCTCCTTGACTGCCTGCACTCTTATTTCCTTGCTCACCAGTACCTAACTGAGCATCTGGAAGTTGGTGCTTTCATTGCTTCTGCACTGTCAGCACTTTGTCTGCTTATGACATCCCTTCACCCCTGTAACAGTTGACCAAGCTACTTCAGGCTGAAAGGAGAGCAGGTAGTTGCCAGCATCCTTTCATTTTTACCAGCTGCATTTCTTTGGCTTAAGCTAGCAAACAACATCCACAGTTTGCATAATTGCTGCTGAAACACAGGACTCTACAGAATTTGGATTTGCACGTGTTTCCAAGGCAGTCACCTACATTTTGGGATGGAATTTCTCCTCTTCAGTCAACAGGAGGAATAGGAATCTCAGCATGGCTAATTAAATCTGATTTGTCTGTACAGATGTGCAGAGTGCCACTCTCAAATTGCTCCTGATATAGATGTTTTCACATGGTAGATATGACTCAGCTGAGGAACAGAAGCCCCTAGTAACATTAGCCCATTTAAATTTTTTAAAAAATGGAACAATATCCTTTTCAAGGGAAAAATAATAATAAAAAGTAAACATTTTTTTCAAGAATAGTCATCACCAGCCCCCACATTTATTATGTCTCACAATGGAAAACAGCCTATAACTTATTTGGTAACAATGCTGCATGATTTTCTTCTTAGGGCAAGTAGTCTCCAAATAGTAGTAACAGGTTTAGGTGACCACAGCTCTGCATTTGAGCGTGCACTTTCAGGTGTTAATATTTGAATGGGCTGCAATCTTTAGGCACTGGGAAAAAACACAACATAGTATACACACACCAGTCCTCTTTTCATTGGTTCCTGTTTAAAGGCTAATCAGAAAAGAACAAGACAAAACAAGGCTTCATTATGAGGAAGGCTTTGTCACTTCCTGCTAGCAAAGGCTACAATGGTTCAGTACAAAATATCCTTTCTCTTCACAAATCCCAGCTGTGATGTTGGAACAGGAGCTCCTCTTGCTGGCTCTGGAATTCAAGTGGCAGCATCCAACCTAGCATGTACGTGGATGCTATCTTTTATCTTTATTTCCTTCCATGTGCCCTTGCCTCAGCAGCAGGGATGAATAAATGACAGTAGCAGCTTCTCTTGATTAGCCAGAAAAGAATATTGTAAGCATCAGCAACTAAAGCATGCCCTTAGGGGAGATACCTGGCCATTCATTAGCCTGAAAGCCTGAGTTTATGATAATCTATTTCTTCCAACCTAGCTAAAACCTAGGTACCCTGCACATGTACTCTGTTATGTATTTAATAACTGGACATGTTGCACAAAAAGCGCCTTATTTTCAACATAACCTGTCTTCAAAGTGAATATTTCTCTTTTAATATTGTTAATGATTTCCTTCACCTCTCTTTCCAGATTTCACTTGGACATACTACCCATCTCCTCTCTGCAGACTGATCACTAACTTGTTGAAATATCTGTTGCTGATGTACGCTCCATTATTTGTGACAGCTTCACATCTCTCCTACAAGCATGCAGCATGGGCCTTTCCTGGAGCTGGAGCTAGACCTCTGATCTGAAGGACCATGGTGCATTCCCTTTTGACAGCTCTGTGTGATGCTTTTGGGAAAGTGCTGGGGCAAGGGGATATATGAGTGGGAAGATAAGCACACTTGAGTGGATGAGCTGTTTCCTGTGACTGACTGCAGGGGAAGCTGCACCGGAGGAAAGATAGATCCATTATTCTGCAGCATCCCTGGTTCCCAACATGTTTCACTGAGGGGCTGGCACTGGAGCTGACAGCACAAAGCACCTTCCACTGGCGGGACCTGGGAGCTTGCTCCAACACTGACCGCTCTTAAATATCCCCATCATGAGGGGTCCAGCACCACACAGCCACTCCACATTCCTGGAACCTTGCAACAGGAGTCCAGAAACACCAGTGCATGTGAATAACTGCATTACAGGCTATTTCAATTCAAGCAATAGAATTGCTGAAGATGGGGGCAGCAAGTTTCCTGGGAGCTGGGCAAGGTGTTCCCAATAGGCCATGATGTGATGCAGCATTTTTTTTGCCAGTATGGGGCACTGAAGCTAAGGAAAGAGCAACCTTTCTTGTGCTATTTTTGGCCATCTTAGAGAGAAAGAAGTCTAATCATGGCCCCTGGCTTGTCATCTTTTCATGAAAGCAGCATAAGCCAGAGCTCCCAGCAAGCCTCATAAAACTCCGGATTTACAGGGGACCTTTCATCTACATCCATTTAAAATGTTCCCTGCCAGGCAACTGACTATGGACGGAAATCATCATTTGAAAAGATCTTACTTTAAGGACTGTACACAGTGTCTTAAATGCTGCTTCAGTTCTTCATCCTTTTCATAGGATTCCAGCATGGTGTGTGCATCATCATGGCGATAGCAGTAGATTTTATATGTGTCTTCTAGTGGGCCTTTAATCTGCAAGAACACTTCCCCTGTTAAAGAGAAAAACAAAGCGTGTCAAGCCAGACAACAGCATCTCAGAAGGAGTTTTATTATTCCACCACATTAGCCGTGAGCTAAAAAGGCTGGCTTCCACTTTACTTCCCTTAGAAACGATCTTGTGTGTTTATGTGCATTATTTATTACACGTATTTCTTAGCTGCTCATCTTTGTCATAGCCAGGCACCATTATATCAGTGCTAATGCACAAAGATTCCCTTAGGAAAAGGCATGAAATCTCTACACCTCGCACCCCTTCATAAACAACCCCCTAATTCACAACCCCATCTTAATGCCCCTTCAGTGGAAACCACACACGAGAGCTTAACTGTTAAGGGGAGACCATTTTTGTGTCATGGGCTGGCAGGAGGGGTGAATGCAAGCCTGTTAATTTTCCTTTTGACTTTTTTTCAACTGAATATGAACTTAAATGGGTTATAACAATAATGTCTCTATCTCCCATTAGCCATTTCAGTTTTATCTATTTTGCAAAATCCTGAAATGGCAACTGTTATGGCCTAGAATAGAGATTTTTCTTCATGTGACAGAGGAGTAACCTCCACCCCTCCCCTAATTAAATAAAACCATGGTGGATTACAGACATTTTTATATAGTATCTAGGTTTACATACAACTGAAGGGGAAAATATTTCCATTTCAAATCCTCCACACCACCATTTTTCCCCAAAGAACAGTTGGGAAATTTTAGAGGCACTAAAGTAGTCCTGCACCCGTTTCTCATTTAATTCTAGTGCTTAATTCTCTCAGCCTAAAACTCCCGTGTTGGTTTCTGTGTATGTAGAGTGGAGAAGGCATGCTTCATCTCTTCTGCTGAGATATTCATTTGGTTCTTACACCTTTACACAGCAGTGCCCTGATCAGCATCCTTGGAAATGCATATAATAAACAGCATCAATGGTGAAAACTCCTGTCTTGGGCATTTACTGAAAATTACATCCATGTGGCAACTAGTCCAATGTTTCATAAACGTTCCTGTTGAGTTATAACAATGATTATTAAAGTTAAAAGCCAAACACCACATTAATTGGGACCTCTCTATTCATTCACAGACTGAATGCCAAGCTGTCAGGCATCCTGCATGTTTCATCCTGGCCAGAGTGGGCTGTTTCATAATACATTGCATTGAACTGCTCCATCTTAAAGTGAAAAATGATTCAGTTACCACAGTAACACAGCTCTGGGTTTTTTCCCCTAGCAGCAAAGGTTAACTGGGCTGTCTGATGCATGTTGGTTTCAAGGTGCGAGTAAGGGAACAACAATGACGGAGCTAAGGCCACAGGAGTTCATTTTAGTTACTGTAAGGCCACAGTCAGAAAATCAGCAGCATCCTGTAGTTAAATGCTCTCTAGCTGTCTGTCTTCTGCTTAATGCTAACGTTGATGGGCTACCAACGTACACCGCATCCTAACTTTTCCATGAACTCTCCATACAGGCCTTTATCAGCCAATGGTGCCAGGGGAAACCTTAACAAGCTTTCTCTTGATCCTGCTCCCCTTGGCACCTGATTCTCAGAGATGCTGAGCTCTCACAGTTTTCACTAACTTTAAGCGGAGTTCCAAATGCTTAGCATGGCCCATACTATGCTAAGCCCTCAAGTGAGTTTATGTTTTCAGTAGCAAAAATGCAAGCTGTAGGTTTACAGCTCATTTCAGAATATACTAGAGGCTGAAAATTATCATGCTCTTCTCCAGAATGAAAGAGATGAGCAAGATCTGTTCACTGATGTATTGTGCCACAAAGACAGATACTTTCATTGATGCTCAGTGATGAGAAAAATTATGTGCTGATTTCATGGATAGGGCCTTTTAAAATCAGATGGATTTCTTAAGCCTAAAGCCTTGTTTGGTTCTGAGCCATATGAACCAAATCAGATGAGCTTTGGGCATATTGCTGTGGGAACTTGCTTTATGAACCAAAACCACATTGTATTCGGGCACAGCTTTAAAAATATGGAGTCTTTTGCACACTCTGACAGAGGCAAATCTGACTGATGCCCCTTCTTAAGTGTGGTAGTCATTAATCTCAAATAGAAAATCCTAGGAGGAAGGCTTAAGCAAAAGAAACAGTTTCTCCTGTGGCTTTCAGTGGTGCTTCCTGTGTGGACAGCAGTGGGAGGGGGAGGAAGAAGGGGTCTAATGGCTAAAGCCAGGGTAAGGTTACTAAGTCTTAATATTCCTCCGTATACAGTATCCAGAACTGAGAGGAGAAAAAATACAGGGGAGAACTAGAAAGGGTATTTAACCTCAGCGACATTTAGCATTAGAAGACAGAAGACAAAGCACCACAAAAGGTCCGTCTACATTAGCATTTTAGCTCAGATTAGGAGAGGGTTTTTGAAGCCAGTCTCTCAGTGGTCGCCATCTCCCATGCCTTGGTTGTGTGGTGGAGCAGTCACAGACACAGACATTGGATCCTTTTGAGGATGGTAATTACCAGAAGATGCACTTCGAGGGCACATCTTATGTACTTCAACCATAAAGGGCATCTCTCAATTGAACCCTCAATTCAGCCAATCTGAAGTAAGACCTCTTGAAATGTGTAGTATGGATACCAGGTCCTTAGCAGCACCTGTTTCACTCTACAAGTCTGCTCCTATTGGACATTACTACTCATCAATGTGGAGATAGCATAAGGTGTGGAGAACATATTCTAAAATAAGACATGAATATGAACAACCACATTGTTTTGGTTTTAAACCAGTGAATTAGCAGTTCTTCTTAACCTCACCATGACTGGCTTGCCTTCCAAAGCAAGGTAGTTCAAAGCAAGATAATTAAATACCATAAACATCGTAGAATATGATGGGTATGTTAAGCATTCTCAAGCCTGCTTTTGTATATAGACTGACTTCAACAACATTTATACTGATTATGAAGATCCTGAAAACAAAATTTTCACCTTGATGTACATTTAGAGGATGACAAACTTACTAACTTATTGCTTATAGCGATGCAATTGTTCTCCCTGCTTCTGTCTCAGCCTTTGGAAGAATGTCTCACACCTAACCAGCCATCATCTTCCCTGCCATAAGTTAGCCAACTCTGTGATCCACAATCCCATTTTCATGGTTCTTTGTCTGATTCTGGAGAAATACACGCTAATAGATGGATAAAATTGTTTGTCTTTACTTCTGGATGTGGCAGGGAACTAAAAGGATGATTCTCTTGGCTGTGAAAAAGGCACTTCCTGCTAGAATAGAACATTGCTTATTAAGGGTATGACTCATCATGATGCACTTTTGTTGAAATACCGCCAAACAACACAGTCGCATCAAACTACGTTAAGCTGTTGCCTTGGCAAACCAGATTGAGACGTGCTAGGATTAATACATTTCCCAAGCCTCATACGCTTTACTATCATGTTTCTTAGTCAAACGACAACCGATAATTTTCTACCCCATTATTTGTGAGAAAAAGGGTCATTTCTGTAACATGTTACCTGTGCTTTGTGATCAGTTTAGAGAAAAAAGAACCTCTCTGACCTCTGAATCATGGCTGGAAGTTTTTTTAAGTAAACTGTCTGACTTTGCACTGAAACAAATTAAGAATTCTCACCTGATCCCTTAAGGTGGATCACCTACTGCCTCTGCACTGAAGAAGCAGTTATAGGAGAGCTGATGAATGGTAACTGCTTAAATCTCTCCAGCTGTGCCAGAATGTCAAGTGAAGCCTTAACATTCATGGCCTGACCTGCAGAACATGTGACTGTTGTGACATATGCAGAGCAAACCTGTTCACTGAAAATACCCATGATCCCTACAGACATTCCTGTACAGATTCCCACAAACTCTATATCAATGACAGCTTTCTTGCCTTTACTGACCCATGTCCCTATTAAGCACATGTAACCACCTCTTACATGAATTGTATCACCAGTAGATGTATGTTTACAGTGCTTGGGGGGTGGGTATGAGGGGTGTTCTCATGTGTTTGTTATTCCAATAATATTTAACGCTTTTCTTGAACAGCACAAATATGAGTATGCAATATAAGAGTTGGTTTAAGTGTGAGCAGAGTTACGTATGCAATATCAAACTAGATGAGCAAGATATTATTATCAGTATGTGACATAACTCAGTGCTGCAGGTTTTGCTCATGCTAAACTCACTCTCTCCTTCCTTTCTCCCCCTCAACATCCAGAAGAATGGAAAAAGAGCATCATGATCATATGAGTACAGTAGAGCAACTGGACAGGTTTCACATGTTATTTTTCCTGTGTCATTATGGACAGCTTGTAGCATGTTAGCCTCTGGGAGTGGTACTAGTTAAGTCTGATGAGGATAAAGGACAGGAGAGTCTTATGTTTATTCTTTCACGTAGCTTTGTAGAACTCAAGAGGACAGTAAACATACCGATTATTTGCATGGGTGGTTCCACATCTGTCGTGGCTTCCTCCAACAATGACAGCAGTTTGGCTGATACTTGATGGACCAGTTCAATGTTGCTAAACAAACCATCCACGTCAAAGCGAGCAATCTAATGGAATACAAATATTAAGCAGCTACTGACGAAGGATAAAGAAGGACATTGTATATTACAGACCTTCTCTTGCTGTGCCCTGAGCATTCAACACTCCAGGAAACACCACTTCTGCAAGACCTCACATAAACATCCTCCTTGTGACTTCAAGGACACATACGCAGTTTTCAGATTAGTATAATATGGTTGACGCAGTTAACAAAGAGCATGCTATCAAGGGCTTTTAACCTTATTTTCAACTATTCCTAATCTGAAAGTGTTTACCTAAGAAGGAAATAAATATTATCATCTGAATAAAGAAAAGATCTTTTGCTGGCTTTAAAATGTTTGTTTAGTTTCCCACTGAGGAAAAGAATAGTTGACAGTGAGTTTGATTCCCTGATTACCAGTTGCTAATAGAGGCTGATACATAAACTGAGACTTTGGCGCTTTGGTGACAGCTACCAGGTACAAAGACTTACAGACAGTGGTACCATTTTAAGTTAGTTGTCCTATAAACCCAGAAATATAATCAAGATTATGTAATTTCCAGTAAAACAAACAAGTTTACAATTCTGGGTATTAATATAACCTAAAGAGCTTCCTACAGAGCCTGAGCGCACAACATTGACTTCAGTCAACTGCATCAATTTACACCAATGTAAAATTTCATTCCATGTCCCTACTCATCTTAGAGCAAGTAAAATATTTCCAGGACACATACTTTTCATCCAGTAGTTATTTATTTCCTTGCACAGCAGGGCAATAGTTAATATTCAAAGGACAGTTGGAGATAGCCAGTGGTAATGTATTAGTACTGAGAACAAAGGCAAGACTGATTTCAACATCCATATTGATACCCTCTGAGTGTATCTTTCCATTAGAAACAGAATTGCTGACTTACACAGCAGCTTACCAGATGCCAAGAGGATCAAATTGCATGCTATTGTAACAGAATCAGAAATATTCTTTCAGTACTAATGCAGTTAATTTCTTTATAAGTATTATAGGGCCTAAAACATGTTTTATCCATTTGGAAATATGAAACTGATTCACTGCTAGGTCAATTTTCTAAATGCTATCCTTCTCTAAATATATTACAAACTTTCAGTACTGTAGTTTATCTGAGAACTAGCCTTAAAACCATGCAACATTCTTGAAAGCCTTTCAAAAATGCAGAGGTTATTAAATTAAGACAGTTATAATCTCTAAATTACTTTTCCTGTATACATCTAACAAACACAGGACTTCCGACCTCTGCTCCAGCACAATGCCTACATAGTATTTGGAACTACACTGTGCATGGACACTTACACACATTAATACAGTGACAAAGGACAGAATTTAAATCTATGTTTTCTGTTGACTGGAAAAGAAGGAATACAGCATGCTTGTCAAAAATCTCGGAGTTCAACCAAGGAATACACTTTCTTGGTGCTGGCCAGGCTGGGGAGGGAGTCAAGTGGAGACTACTTCTCAGCGGATGAACAAGTGAGGAGGAAGAAGTCAAGAACTCCTTAAAATTATGCCAGCAGATGCCAGCTCATCTGAAAACCAGTTGGAAACTCTGACAGAGTTTTAAGAAAGAAAAAACATTCCGCAGGAGCGTAAACAGAACAGGTTTCAGCTGGCCACAGCATTTCCTGAAGAGGCAGTACCAATGTCATGTAAAGACACTTTGGCCTCTGCACCTGTATTTTGTCACCAGTTTCATAAGAAACCCTACATACAGAATACTTGGTTTAAGGTCTGGTTTAAATTATTTTTTTCTGTATCTGCAGCAGATATCATTTGTGTAACCTCTGTGACCGCTATGTTGCAGGCCCCACAAACATGAATTTTTCTCTGGACAACCTCCCCTATTCCCAGCTTTCGGCTGCATAATTTTTCTACAAATTGAAATACCATTGAGGAAAAGGTGCTCTTTGAAGTCTCAGCTGAAAAAGAAAAAGGGTATCATTGGCCCAATAAGATCTTTTGCCTGAAAGTTTATGACCCTTCCTTCTTAAATGTGCCTTTTCTGTGTAGAATACAAATTTCTGAAGTGCTCACTGGTCTGTCAGACATGGTATTTCTCCACCACAGCTGTCTGAAATGCTGGAAAAAGTTACCTTTACAACTGAATTTAACCTTGATGGGGAGGTTCATGCCTTTTCAGGTTGCTGAAAATACTTGGAAATATAATGGAAAATACTGTTTAATATCTTCATAAGTGATCTGGATGATGGGATGAAGTGTACCCTGATGAAGTTTGCTGATGATACCAAACTGAGTGGACGCTTCAGAAGGGAGAGCAACCCTGCAGGATGACCTGAATAGGTTGGAAGAGCAGGCTAACAAAAACATTATGAAGTTCAACAATAACAAGTGTAAGGTCTTGCACCTGGGAAAACATAATCTGGGAGTGCAGCACAGCCTGGCGAGCAGCTATGTGGAAAGGGACCTAGGGGTCCTAGTAGGCAAGAAGCTCAATATAAGCAAAGTGTGCTGCAGCCAACAGGATGCTGGTTTGCACCAACAAGGGTATCCCCAGCAGAGATAAAGAAGTCATTACCCCACTCTACTCAGCACTTGTCAGGCCACACCTGAAACACTGTGTTCAGTTTTGGTCCCCACTATACAAAAGAGATGTGGAAAGGCTTGAGAGGGTCCAGAGGAGAACCACAAAGACGATCAGAAGACTGAGAAGTCTGCAACATGAGGAAAAGCTGAGAGAACTGGCTTTGTTCAACCTTGAGAAGAGAAGGCTTAGGGAAGACCTTATCACCATGTTCCGGTATTTAAAGGATGGCTAGAAAGACACTCCCTTTTTACAAGGATTCACGTGGAAAAGATGAAGGATATATCTGGAATAATCTCCCCAGGGAAGTGGTAGATTCCCCAACATTGGACACTTCTAAAATTCAGCTGGTCAGGGTTCTGGGCCGTCTTGTCTAGACCATGCTTTTGCCAAGAAAGGTTGGACCAGATGATCCTTGAGGCCCCTTCCAACCTGATATTCTATCATTCTATGAAAATACTTGGTTTTACCAGTTTTAACTGCTTTTGGAGGTGCCAGTAAAGGACTACCAGGGCATGTACCAGGGGTTATAATTGCAGAGCAGTATGGAGAGTTGTAAGCTGCTATTGCAGCCCACAAGCAGGAGTACAGCATCAAAGTTGCCCTGTGGGCAAGTACTTGATGCAGGCTTTACTCAAGTGTAGTGCAAGTGTCAGGAGCCTATCTGACTTCCCGCTCTCCTCGTAAGAGCCCTGGCACATCCCTTTCCAGAAAGCTAGCTCTAGACTCACTCCTGGCATCATGTCACTACCATGTTGACACTTGTGCTTGCATTAAGATTATCTGCAAGCAGAACGTGGGTGAGTCGAGACCTTGACATCACTACCTCATCCTCCACCCCCGGCGCTCACCTGCTTGTTTCTCAGGGGCTGAATCACTTCCTTGATGCAAAGATCCAGGTCGCTGATATAGTCTTTCTCTGTCTGCATGAGTTCTGTGATGATTTTCACCCTCTTGGCCATCATCCGTCTGCTAACTTGTTCTTCATCCTCCTGTGGTGAAGATGCAGGGGCTGAGGACCCCACCTGTGGGGCCATTTTTTCTGTTTAAAAGAGGGAGATTTGTGAGGAGTATTGTAATCCCACATGCTCACCCAGCTTGCCCTGCATGACCGTGGGGGAACGTAACCCATGCCTATTGGAAATTCCCCAATTGCCATGGGAAGCAGGAAAAGAAGCGTAAGAAATGTCAATACTAGCTCAGACCCAGTGTCATCCCATCTCTTCTAAAAGTGGACATGGTTTTGGTGAAGGAAACTGTCCATTTGGCAGTGAGGGGATAACCCATCACCAGCTCCCCCAGCTTTAATGTTGTGTATGTGAACAGAAATTTTCCATGGAACACAGAAGAGTCTGATCCTTGTCACAATGAAATTCAAGGATAGCTGATGCCCTTCTACTCCTTTGAAAATACAGTCTCGATCTGACATCTATTATGATTTGGAGGATGGGAGAAAATGTGTTCCTGTGGAAGAAAAAGGCTGTGTTTACCATAAATAAGCTTCACTGGAATAACCTTTGCTCTGCACAATGTAATGTTGAGTTTATTCATGGGAAGCTGAGGGCTACAGGTACTAGAAGACAAGCTTTTAAATGAAGACAATGTTACTAACAATGACGATGAAACTTGCAATTCTGTTTAAAAAGACTTATTTGAAGGAGGCAAAGGAATTACAGGAGAATATGGGGGAAAAGCTTTAACCATAAATAACAAACATTTCTTGGAACAATGGAGATCACTGGGATCAGGACATTCTGTATTTTTCCACAAGTATTTTACTTGTTCCAAATCATAGAAATGCAAGCGAGTCTTCTACAGATAGGTAATTTATGTATGCTACAGGACCTGCACATCACCTACTTATCTGTAATGATGGTCTTCCCTTTTGCTGGTTCGTAAGCCAGCCTGCAGACACCCATGTCAGCTGTACTAAGGGTACTGAATTTTATCTATGTACACTGACAATCGGTATTTTTCATTAGGAAAAAAATACAAAAAAAACAAGTGAAAGACTTCAGAAGCTATTCTGGTGTTTTTCTGCTAGCCACAAGATGGTGCAGAGTACCAACAAAGATGGACATATCATTACTGTACTCATCTCTATGTTACTCAGGTCATGCTTTGACAGCATTGGCTTTCATTGCTCAGTGGCAAAGGATGGGAATCTCTACTGAGGATCAGACTGTTATGCCTTTGTGTCAACTTGTTGTTGGGGAGCATACTGTATAATGAGGCAATAGCAAGCAGTATCTGATGCTTTGCTCACTGATAGTCAATACTGAATATGTTGTAGCTGTTTGAATTGATTGTCAAGGAGAGGTTGTGAGCACTCAAGTGAGCATTGAACAACGTGCAGCTCATCTGTACAACACCAGCCAAGGTTGTAGATGATAACCTGGACTTGTGGGAAAACCAAGCAGCTTTCAAGAAAGAAGGCTTTGAGCCGCCTACCACCGAGAGGTGTAAAATGTTATAAACCCAATGTATTGTCATCCCCAACCCCTTCTACAATTATGCTGACCACTAATATTCAGAAAGGACAGTTCTGTTATTAATGCTTCTCCCATCAAGTTTTCTATCGAGACTGATGTGACCAGTTACTGTTTTAAATAGCTACTTTTGGGACTGCACCTCCACATCTGTATTGCTAATTTGAAACAGTGAGGACAAGGAACCTCAACAAAACAAACCAGGGAGGGCACCTGTTTCTTCAGACTTTTTTGTATTTAGATGTACTTTTTATCTTTGAGTTTTTAGCCTTGAAGTCTGTGTATAACAGCCATGAACATTTTGTCCTCAAGTTTGTACATGGACAATAAAATGGAAACATGATGAAGATGTCTCCCCTCCACTAGGCTTGGGCTATCAAAAGGTTTTAAAGCTGAATATTGCCCTAGTGAGTCCATGCTGGTGTGAGTGCACAGACTGCACAGGAGTTCTTTCTGCTGCAGATCTCACCCTCCAAAGGTGCTGTGGGCTGGATAAAACAGACTCTGTCATTACCTTAGTGAGGAGGAGAGCAAAATTGGTGCCAGTATCACTCCACAGTTCCCTCTGAGCAATTTTCTGCCAGGGTTGCAGAATGAGGCCACCTTGCCTGCTGCTTATGTGCTAAACTGGCGGGAACTTTTCCTCTGAATACTTACAGTAGGTAACTACACTTATAAATTCACAAGGAACCACATGAACAATATATTTCCGTTCCAGTTCTGCACCAAAATCAGCATTTTTCTTGAGATCAGGTGTGAAAATGTTTGCATGTGTGTGATTCTATATGAGAGTTCAGGGTGACTCCTGAAAAAGTGCAGAGAGAAGCAGATGCCCTGACAAATCTCAGAAATGTCATTTCATCTCAGATGCAGCACTGTTATGATATCAGATGGAATTTGAAGGTAAACACAAGATGCTGTGCTAAAGAATTTTCTAATCTTTTATACTAGTGGCAGGGGAGGGCATTATATGAGCAAAATAAAGCCCCCGTATCCCACTTCAGGCTTGAAGGTGCAATCCCTTGAGAGGCTGTTCTTTCCGTTTATGTCATTAGATCACCCTGATCAAATTTGATTCTTGAATTATGTCAGGGCTCATCTATTATCCTTATCGCATGATAGATAATAATGCCAGGAAATAAAAACTATTCTCAATAGGAAGAAATAACTATGAGAAATATCAGGTAGATGCTGTTTCCTTATAGAAAACATGTTTTTTAATAAATGTATCCTTTTGTTAAAAGTAATATAATTTTCAATTTTCACTCAATATGTTCACTTTTTCATTTCAGGTATGTCCTTCTCTATAGAATGCAAGAGCAAGATCTCGAAGTGATGATTACAGCCAAAACCTGTGATTTCATGTTCAGCTGATTGCTTTGACCAGTTCGAGAACATTAGTGGCTAGTGAAATACTTGTGGAGTAAGTGAAAGTTTAATGAATGCACAAACAGCAAGTGCATATCTGGAATATAAGATGACTTGTTTCTACCTGGTATCATGTATCAGCCCTGGAACGGTTCAAGAGAGAGGATTAGCAGGAAGAGACATTGCTGAGGATTAACTGCGACAGTAAAAATTTGGCTCACTCGTCCTCAGAGATGCCAGGTTTAGAAAAAAAGTTAAAACTTTCTGTTGAATGGTTTATTAGACAGCTGTGTCTTAAGACCAGTTTTCCAAAAAGTTATTGGTATTTTTAGTAGGCCTAAAAATGCAAAGCAGAAGGTACTTTTTGCAATTGTTGCTTTGTGATGCCAGTTACCTGCAGGAGTCACCTTTCTGGAGAACTTTGCTTTGGAGAGGAAGGTGCTAACTTTGGTTTTCCAGCTGTGCATTGAAGTACACAGCTCTAGTTGCATGAAACCAGAGGTTCACTATATGATAACATGGACAAAGCAGCCACATACCTTACAAAAACCAGTTTCTTGCAAGTAGACTTCATGAAGTCTAAAAATATCCCCCAGATGGAGACATCCAGCAGTGCAGCGGAGGAACAGAGCTTGCAAGGTGCAAATGTGGCAGCCCGGTTCTAGGCCCAGGGGAAGCATTGGGGATTCTGCAGTAAGTGACTGGAGGAACAGCCATAGCAGGTTTGCAAGATCCATACATGCAAATTTCCCTGGCTTTCCCACCTAGAGAGGAAGCAGCTCCAAGAGGTCTGCTCTATCCATCCTTCCTCCCAGGTAAGATGCTCAGGTTGGGTATTATGTTTGCCTTTCGGGACAGGACCCAGGTTTCTCCCCATCCAATCCTTTCCATCCGGAAGTGAAGGCACCAGCACAGAATACAGCAACAAGTACAGTGATATCAGTGCACGGAGTGAGTAACAGGCCTTTTTATTACTTAGGCAGCATTTGGAGGACACCAAAGGAACACAAGTTCTGTACTCACACTGTGCAGATATGGGGATTTTGCCTGGCACAAGGGAGCAGTGAAGGCATAAGTTATCAAGGTATAACAAACAAATTACAGCATTACTGTGTTTTCATGTGTGAAACCTGAGTCTCACACCACCCTGGATAAAATTACTTCTCTGTGAAAGCAAGTCCTCAGATAGCCTGTACCCTCAGATAACCTAGCTATTGCACACAGGAATGTACACCAGCCTTTATCAGCTGGATTTGGGAATGAAATGCAGGCAGCCAAGTTCAGAGACTGCTGCTGTGGCAGCTTTTCTCTTCCCCCTCATATCTCCCCTCACACCATAGCCCTGGCTCTGCCCATTACGCCCCTGCTTCCACTGCAGGTGCAGGGAAGGCTATAGGGCACAGGGAGACTGAGATGCTTGAAAATGGTGGAGCCTGAAACAATAAAAGCAGTGGGAAAGGATGGAGTGTCCCACTGCATGCAGAAGTGCATCACATGAGCTAACACACGGGAGTTTTACTCCAGATCCCATTCCCCTTGTGAGGGGCCACTTCATAGAGGTGTCATTATAGTTTTTACACCAGAGTTATTACAGTGCAACATTATGGGGCAAGTATGGTGCAGATTAGATCTGCTGTACTCCAAGTTGGGCACTAAAATACAAAAGGATTGGGAGAGGGTTGTGGAAAATGCCGTTTTGACTTTTACTTACAAAGGCACATAACAGCAGCATTGTTCAGAAGCAGGTTTGTTGCACACGTGCTGCGAGTTACACATGCAAAAGCCCCTTTTCTGAACACAGGAGAACACCGCAGGACCAGAATGACCTTGCACCAGTCTTCCTGGGCAACGGGCTCGCTCATAAAATCTGCATCAGAGACTTCCTTGCAATTAGGTCATTCAATCTTTGATCATTTTTCTGTTCCATAAGGTACAGAAAATATTTACATTCGACACGCAAGTTCTTTCTTCAATTCCTTGACAGCAGACCGCTTTAATTATATGTGTGCTGACAGGACTACAGAGAGATCCCATGTGACCGCAGTGGAAGGGAAGAAAGCTTATCATCAGGTGACAGAAGAATGCCCTTATTGTTAGCTCCAATACTTACAAATAAACCTTTCCAGTGTGTCATATACCGGTATAAATATACCACTCCTGTGGCATTGAGCTAATACGTTAATAA